CTGATTTTCAAATGTTGAAACAGCCTTGCATACCTGAGATAAATCCTGCTTGGTCATGGTGTGTAAGTTTTTTATAACATTGTTGGATTCAATTTGCTAACATCTTACAGAGGATTTTTCTTTGAGCTTCATTTCTTTTTAAAAATTACTGTTCAAGAAAAGTGTCACACATTATTATAGGAAATTTGGACTGCAAGTGAAAAAAAGAAAAATACTCTTAATCCCATTGCTCTGAGGTAACCACTCTCCAACATTTTGGTGTATTTCTTATTGTCTTTTATAATAGAAATATTAATAACAGCAACAGTAAATATCATTATTACTTCATTGAGTGGATACTTGAAGTAACTAATTGATAAGTGAGGTAGAGATCCCATGGTGCTGTATTTACACAACGGGATAATGAAAGAAAGTAAGGATATACATGACTGCTTTTGTCTAGAGTCTTTTGATGAAGATAAGAAAAATGGTTTAAGGAAGAGATTAAATATTCACCTTAATTACCTTTTCTATACCCTCCTCAGTGCCCCATCGTAATATCCAATCAATTCAGGCTTCTAACCAGGTTGTCAGGAAAATACTTGACCTCACTCAGAATGTGAGTAATGGAATGTAGTTCATAGTTTGTGTCTGCTGTGTTTCTAGGCTGCTGGATAATTTTCCATGCCTTAGGAATGAGCATTGGTTTTAGTCACAGACAGTGGCTATTCTTCTGATACACAAAAGACACTGAAAAAGGACTTTATCCTCCTCATTGATGAAGCTCTTCCCTTACCTGCCCTCACTGGAGCCCGATAGAGATTTGGACAGTGCTCTCATGCAACAAAATGCCAGAATAAACACTAGAGGCTATATAGAAGCCTGAACTTTGAGATTCCCAACATGAAAGTTTCCATGGACACTGGCATGCAGGGAAGGGCAGTGTGCTGGTGGGAGTGAAGACAGATTGCAGCATCTGAAAAAATTCCATTTCGTGCTTTTTTATTTTTCTATTTTAGAATTGTAGTCATTCAGAAAAGGAAAGGGGGAGTAAAAGTGGACTTCTTGACCTTTGGGGAAGGAATTTAGAGTCTTCACAAACCATTTCATACAGCTCACACTTTTTTAGGTCATTTTTGGAGTAGACCCTTTAAACTTACTTGCAGGAAATTTGTCTAGTAGAACAAGTATTTCTGACTCTTCAATCAGTATAGACTCTGATGCTTTTCTTTTGTGTAGCTTTCTTGCTCCTGACCGTGTTCCATCTTTCTCAGTTCCTGTCAGCAACACTTTTCTGGAACAAATCTTTCTTAAGCTATGATGCTTTCTAGCTAGTGTGCTTTTTCCCTTTTGAAAAAATAATCTGCCTATAATAGAAAAATAAACATTGGTTTCCTACAAGCCAGCTAGCTAGGAGTTAATGGCTTATAACCCATGTCAAGCATACTGAATGGTGTTGTTTTTAAGTACAAACTCTTAATTCAAGGTTTTATGTGTTTAATTATGTATGTGTAAAGTGCCAGTCTGTATGCCTCTTGGGTCCAGCCTGGCTTGGAAATATTAACTATGAGAGCATATAGATGTACCATGGGATAAAACTTACCTCTTTAGATGTGCATCCTTTATCCCAAGATTCACTTGTGGGGAATAACATCTAAGTGGGGATAATATCAGTGCTGCATGTTAACCAAGGAAACATCTCAATTAGGAAGAAATACATTTGAAGGATCTGAAGCAGGCAGAAAGGGATCATTACAGGCGGTAATGTTGTCACACAGAATATACTGGGGTGGACCAAAGGAAGTTGATTTCTAAACTTGACTTTATTACTGCACTTCTGTGTGTGTGTGTATGTGTGTATGTATTACCTATAAAATGAAGAGGTTGGACTCCACTCTGATGAGCTCAGATCTTCACTTGTTATAACTATTCACAAATAAGCCATCAAGTTTTTCAAATTACAATGCTGTGTTTAAGTAATTTTGGTAAAATTCTATGTTTAAATAATAACATAGTTTCTCACCCTAATGCAATCATAACAAAGATATATCAACTTGTGTGTAACCCACGGCTTTTAAGTTTCAGCAGCTTAGGGGCCAGTTGACCAAAGGAAGCAAAATCCTTTTAGGGTTTCATTTGTGTAGAGGACCCAGGTACCTCAGGGGAGATTTTGCTGGAGACCACTACCAGTGCCCTAGGAATTACTTTAAGGAGGAGGAGATTTTTCTTTTAAGCAGAATAGTTCTATTTGGGGTTCTGTTATATTTTAGGGTTCTACATTAAGGTTTTGTTTGGGGTAAGAGAAGTTTTGGGCTTTAAAAAAGTTTAACAATTACTAGTAGATCCTATAAAAAAAGGAATCTTTTACATTGCCAATTTCACCGTTCTGTGATACACCCACCCTTCTCTTCTCTGCATATGTGGAGTTTTCTTTTTTACTAACACTGTATGTAATACAGTTAGGAATATAAGACTATCACTCTCACCTTTGGGGAGCTATAGGATAGAGGCTGAAGAAGTTCCAAGAAACCCACTCAGAAATGATGTCAGTAGAGGTGCTGACAGGAGGAGTCTGCTGCTCTTGGAGAACTGTGAAGTTTGTAGCAGAATGGAGTTTTGATGGCAGGGAGGTGTAATAAAACTTGAAAAGGAATTTTGAAAGTTGTTTCACTCCTGCCGTTGGTAGGAGTCCTTTCTCCTGACTACTCAACCTGTCACAAGCCAGGTACCCCGGGAGTCCCTTCTTTGGCCTCTGAATTTGAATGGATGCTAAGGCCCAGAAATCTGTTCTTATCATTTTGAAATAGGTTGGAGAATACCTATTTGTTAATTAGTAGGGAACGGGAGTGAAAAGGATAAAGGTTTATGGAGTAGGTTATTCTGCCTTCAATTCTTATTTGTGGATGGTCTGAATAAGATAAGCTGTACAGAATAAATGTTGGAAAACCTATGTAAAGCAATGGGAAGTCGAGAATTTGACTTTTTTTTTTTTTTTTTTAACCCATGATTTAGTCACCTGCTGCGGTCTAGTCACACCTTTCCTGACTGATAGCTTCTGACTCAAACCACATGTATACGTGAGGGCTAGTAAAATAGGTTGTGAGTCAGTTTTTATTGTGTTCTCATTTTTAGTCACTTGTAACTGTTGAGCGATTTTTTCAGGCACTCAGAAAAGTTCATCTCTTAGCTAAAACTTTCTAGGTTTAGTCTCCAAGAGAAGGTCTTAGATCTTAGAAGATGTAATTTATTTCAAGGTTACAGATTCATTCGTAAAAGATCATCATAAAGTAGAAGAGCCTTGAAATAAACACACTAAAAATAAAAAGATATTATATAAATAAACACAAATCACAGTTCTCAAATCTGATACAGAATTTGCAGGGACATTAATAACATTTAACACTCCCCCTCCCCTTTTCTTTAGCACGGGGAGAGAGTATAATGAATTCCTGAGGGCTCATGTCACTTAGTCACTTGATGTGTGAAAGGATATGGATACTGTCATACAGGCTTTATTTTGTATTGGTGTTCTTATGGCAGTGTTACAAAAGCTGCTTAAAGTATCAGGCCTCCTGCACTTTTTAAGAGCTAATTAAAAATGGCCCCATCTTTCCCTCTTCTTTAGACTTTCTCTTCTTCAGTCTACTTTTTAGGTTTTCCCAGTTTGACTTTTCCTTCCCAGAGACTATTATAGTGAACAGAGCACCACTGGGAACAGGAACATTGGTGTCCCCTGCATCTTTTACGAGTCCCCTGCAGCTGCATCTGTCTTCTTGTCTGTAAAAGAAAGGTGTCACATAGGTGACAACTACTTTCTCTTTCAGCTCTAAAATTCTCTACTGGCCTTTCTTCTGTCCACTGCTCTACCTTTTCCCTATTCCCTACGTTAGCTATTCACCATGCATAGTGGTTTGAAAGTACTCTTCAGATAAACATGGTCGTTGGGAAACATCAGTAAGTGTAGTTACTGGTAAGAGACAAGAGTTTAGAAGTTCTCGTTTTGGTAGTTTCTCACTTTGTTTACCGAATGCCCTAGCCACGTATAGCCTGCAGCCATATTTTATTTGGTTGGCTCGGTGGTTGCTGCAAAATAAATCTGTAATATAATTTTACTCATCAGAGAATAAAAATTTTAAGGCTTGACATTATCTAATGTTGGTGAAGGTGTAGAGAATGCTTACTTTCACACGTTGTGGGAATGAAATTGGTACATCTTTTTTTGGAGGGCAGTTTAGCTGTATCAGTCAGTATTTTTAGAGTACATATAAATTGATTCGGTGACTCCAAAAGTCTCTGAAAAAAACTCATATGCAAATACTAAGAGATCTATCCAAGGATGTTCATTACTGTGTTGTTTGTAATAGCAAAAGTTTGGAAATATCTTGTATTTCCACTAAGAAGGAAAATATTTAATGGGTATGTTTGACTTTTTATTTATATATGCAAGTATTCATATTGTATACATCCGTATCATACAGACATTTAAAATAAAACAAATGAAGTTGATCTGTATGTACTGACATAATTTAAATAGAAAAGACACATAACGTATGTTCACTATGACCCATTTATATAAAAAGAACATAATTGTGTACATATATGTATATAACTGGATAGGAAATGGCTGGAAGGTTACATACCAAACTGTTAACAGTAATTACCCTCCAGAGAGAAAAATGGTATTGAGATGGAGAGAGAGGAGTAAGTTCATTTTTTACAATGTACACTTACCTATTAAATTGTAAAAAGTAATATGTATTATTGGTATAAAAATGAACAAAAGGAAAAGCAAAATGGGAAGGATACGGAATTACTTCATAAAGATTATAAAAAAGGCAAAAAGATTAGTAAGAAATTCATTGACAATATCAGGCGAACATTGTTTAGGGGATATTCCTAAAACTTCAGGATCAGATAGGAAACGCTTTTGGCCAGGGCGGTCCAGCACTTACAGTAGCAGCTCTGCCGTTCCATTTCTCTGTGTGTCCAACTCATTATTCTTACTTGTCTGTGTTCTGCAGGTAACCCGGGACCAGATGAAGGTGTTTATACAGCAGGAATTTAAGAAAGTTCAGAAAGTGATTGCTGATGAGGAGCAGAAGGCCCTTCATCTAGTGGACATCCAGGAAGCAATGGCTACCGCTCATGTGACTGAGATACTGGCAGACATCCAGTCCCACATGGATAGGTTGATGACTCAGATGGCCCAAGCCAAGGAACAACATGATACCTCTAATGAATCAGCTGAGCCAAAGGCGGAGGTAAAGGAGAATGCCTATAATTATTCGTAGCAGAAGTTGGAGGAAACGGACTGCCGTGTTTGTTAGCTCTGGAAATTCTCCTTTGTGGTCCCTAAACATGAGTGAATTGAAAGCTCAGATAGGGTGTAAGTGTTTATATTGGTGTATAAACCAATATGGAAGTATTGGCTGCTAGGGCCTACACTCGGCAGCTGGAGCTGGCAAAATATTTGTCTACGATGACTTAAAGGAGTATAGTCGATAGGGCAAATACTAATCACAGTTAAGGAGGGAAGTGAGAATCAGAGTCACAGAAGAAGGCAGTTGACAGATTCCCAGTTGTGAAATGAGCCTCCAAATAAAGTCATCACAGGGATGACAACAAGGTGAATGAGAGTAAGTCAGGATGTAGGGCATAAAGCAGCCCAGAATGAAACGTTTTGGACTGATTTTGTGAGTAGTGAAAAGGAGCCTCAGCTTGGTTTTTATATGGAGCCAACTGCATAAATTGGGGGCATAACTGTTGGATTAAGAGAGGCATGTGGCACTGGATCAAAAAAGGTGTGAATGAGGGGCACCTGGGTGGCTCAGGAGAAGTAGGTTAAGCATCCCTACTTTGGCTCAGGTCATGATCTCGCAGTTCGTGAGTTCGAGCCCCGCGTTGGGCTGTGTGCTGACAGCTCGGAGCCTGGAGCCTGCTGGGATTCTACATCTCCCTCTCTCTCTCTCTCTCTGTCCCTCCCTGGCTTGTGCTCACTTGCTCTCGCTCTCGCTCTCTCAAAAATAAATAAAAATTAAGAAAAAAAAAGGTGTGAATGAAGGACACAAGGTATATGTTGAATCACTACAGATGTTAGTCACTGTATTCATTGTTATTTTGTAACAGGCAGAAAAGGTCTTAGGCATTTTACCAAACAACATATTCTGGCATTTAGAATATAATTGTAAAATAAAATTTAAGACAGCCATTTGAAAAAATATTATGGAATTTATATTTCAGCCACTGTTGAAAATTCTGGTCAAGCTTATGCGAGAAGGGTAGGCCCTTCTAGAAGAAAACCTACGGCAGTCCTGTGGACTTTCCAGGACTGCTACTGACTCACTGAGCTTACTGCTTAGCTAGCAGTCTTGCCTTGGCCTGGTACAGCCTAGCCACAGAATACACCAGCCAACAGAAGAGCCAAGGTATAATCCAGGAGGCAGGTATTGTCTGAGCCTACCTGACAGAAAATGTAAGAGACTATTGGACAGTTATCTGCTTCACTCACCCAAGGTTCTTGATTAATTTTCATCCGTGTGTGAAAAGGATAAAATAGGTCTTGTTCTTTTCATTTTATCCTCCCCAGAATTAAGAAAGTGTGTGCCTAAGTAAGTTTCTAGCTAGGAAGAGAGCAGTTTATATTCATCATTTCACTTAATTCTTATATCAGCATCCATTATCTTTGTTTTACAGATGGGATATTGAGATACAGAGAACTGCAGAGATCCAGAGCCAGTATCATTTAGTTAGTAGAAAATGGAGCCAGGATTCAGATTTAAGTCCATCTTGTCCCAGTTGCCTGTGTGTTTTCCCTACTGCATGCTGTATGCCAAGTGTCCCATTTGTTTATGTGGGGAAAATGAAGAGAATTAGTGTCCTAGACGGCTTTGCACTCCTAAGATCTTTTATAGTGTTGAGGTGCTCACTTTGTATCTTAAACAAAAAATTCAACCACAGTTAACTCAAGGGATCAATGACCTAACTCTGTCCCAAATTCTCTGCAAATCGGACCCCCACATTTTTCTGTGTGTTGATTAGGTTGCTTTTTCAAAAGTAAAGATTTAATTTTTAGAGATATCTCTTTTATTTTCATTTCAAATAACGAATTTAGTCCCTCCCCTGCATTAACTGCCCTCTAAGCACGTCAGCTGCTCAGCTGAGCTGTGCTTGTTAACTCTGATGGAATTACTCCTAGGGATGCAAAACTGACAAGGCCTAAGGACCAGGCTGTGGACAGAATAAGCTGTTAAAGACAAAAAGTAGCATTCAGCTGGCTAGGGCTTTTACAAAGAGCTGTTCTCATCTAATAGCCTCTTGTTCCAGCTAATCTGGTAACTTATTGATCAGAGCAAATCCCCAGTACCTCTCTTTCACTCAACAGAGGAATTCTTTTCTTCCTTTTGCATGTTCTAGATTTTTTTTTTAATCATCTGCATTTGGATTTGGCCAAAAGATTCTTCCCTGCAACATTTTATTAGAAATTTTCGAACATATCGCAGAATTGAAAGGATTTTACAGATTACACCCTATACTTCCACCTAGATTCTACCATTAACATTTTTTAATTAACATTTTAATATACCTGCATCATGATATATACATAGCCATCTTTCCAGCCTTCCAATCTTCAATGCACCTTATTTTTTGATGCATTTAAAATCAAATTGCAGCTTCTGATTCTGAGCAAGATAAACATATTTCACTTTATTCCACTAATCACAGCAAAAATTCCCGAACAAAATATTTAAATTACCTACCAGAAGACTCTTAAAAGCATGGAGAAAAGATGGTCCTGACTTGGGATCTTGGGATCTTGGGATTTGAGGAACTGCATGGCAGCGAGTTCTCTGGGATTTTTCTTGCTTCCATATGTCCTGGCCTGGGTGCCCTGCAAACTGGAAATCCTAGTGAGCACAGACAAAAAGAAAATCTCCAAGAAAAGCCTGCTCTCTTTAGTTAGAGGACTAGGAAAAAGGGCACTTCGGCTATAGAGAAAGCTTTTGACCATCTTACATATTCTGAAAACACACACTATGAATAATGCTGCACCCTTTCCCAGCCCCAGATGGCACTGCAGTAGTGGAGCCAGTGGAGTGAAAACCTATTTTTTATCCTCCCCTGCTTTTCCCTGGAGCCTCTAGGTGAAAGACTGGCTTCTGTCATCACCCCTGCCTCTCTCAGTAGTCAGTGGTGCCCATCTCCCATGGAGCCTGTGGGTAGAACTCTTACTTACACCCCTGCCCTGCAGCATCAGGAAGGAAGTAGTATCCCTCCCCTATGGAGACTGTAGATGGAGTTCTAACTCCTCCCTCCCCACCCCTACACTAACTAGACAATATACCTCCCTAACGGGTCAGCGCGTAGAACCTCATCTTCCACTCTTACCCGGTAGTAATGAATTGGTGCCCCTGCTCCAGGTAGCACTGTGCTGACTATAGCATGGAGTTTTGTCATGTAGTGGGGCAGACCAGAATAGCACTGCAGAATCTTTTAAACTAAACTGATGTTTGAACCATAGTCCACAGACCTGATCTAGGACATGTGTTCTGATTCTTCTTTTTTTTAAAAACCATAATTTATTTTTATTTTTATTTTATTTTATTTATTTTTAAATTCAAGTATAGCTGATGTACAATGTTACATTAATGTAAGAGGACATATGTTTTGAATTTAAATAGGTTGACATCTTGCTAGAATAGAAGATTTAAATAGGAATCAGATTCTTAAATACGCAAATGTTCAGGATACAGTCCAAAATCACTCATTATACCAAGAACCAATAAATCTCAATTCTGAGAAAAGGCCACAACCAAGATGACACAGATTTTAGAATTATCAAAGGATTTTAAAGCCACTATTTAATGAAAATGACTCAGTGAGCAATGAACACATGCTCTGGAAACAAATGAAAACTAAAAAATCTCAGCAAAGATATAAAAGATATAAAGAAGGACCAAATGAAAATTTTAGAACTGAAAAATACAGTAACTGACATAAAGCATTCACTGGATTGGCTCAGTAGCAAATTGGAGATAAGAGAGGAAAGAATTGATGAATTTGAAGATATAGATCCAATCTGAACAACCAAGAAAAAAAGAAAACCAAAACCGAGTCCCAAGGACCTGTGGGACAATAAAAAAAGACCTAATATACACGTCACCCACATCCAGGAGGTGAGCAGAAAGAATGTGGGGCTGAAAAAAAATTGAAGAAATAATGGCTCAAAACTTTTAAAATTTGGTTGAAAGACATAAACCTAGAGATTTAAGAAGTTGAATGAACCCAGGCAAGATAAATCTAAGAAATTCATACCCAGACACATTAAAATCAAACTAATGAAGGACAAAAAAAATCTCGAAAGCAAAGTAGCTACAGAGAAATGACACATTAGCTATGGGGAACAATAATTTGAATGAATGTGGTGTATATAAGATAATTTGTTCTGTATCTATCGAAGTGATTATATGGGTGTTTTAAATTATTTTATTGTAATGGCTGATTATATTGATTAATTTTATAATATTAAATCAACCTTGCATTTCTGAGATAAACTCCCTCTTGGCCATTATGTATTTATCATCTGGGTTCAATTAAAATTTTTATGTTTGTGTTCAATGAGGGATATTCATCTGTAGTTTGATATTTTTATAACATCGTTGTCAGGCTTACATATTAGGGTTAGCTGGCCTCAGAAAACAAGCTGAGAAGTATCCCCTCCTCATCTTCTGAAAGTTTGTGTGTGATTGATGTTATTTCTCCCTTAAATATTTGGTAGTGTTTACTAGCAAGATCATCTACCCTGGAACTTCTTAATGTAAAGGTTTTTGATAACCAATTTAATTTCTTTAATATAGAGCTATTTTGGTTTCATGTTTATTTAAATTTAATTTGTGTTGTATTTAAGTTGTGTTGTGTTTATTTAAATTTGTGCTGTAATTTTCACAGAATTTGTTGTTTTCATTTAAGTGGTATTTTTTACTGTGAAGTTGTTCATAGTGTTTTCTTGTTATTTTTTTAACTACAGCATCTAGAATGATAACCTATCTTTCATTATTGATAACTTGTGATTTTTCTCTTTTTTTTATTGAGCAGTCTAATTGCTATTTTATTAATTTGGTGAGTGTTAAAGAACTTTTTGATTTGCTAATTTTATTCTCTCCTATTTTGTTTATATCTGTTTTTATTTCCTTTTTTTCTGCTTAGTTTGAGTTTACTCGTTCTTTTTTCTAGCTTTATGAATCATCGATTTTACTACCTTTTAAAGTCAGTTTTCAAACCTGTACATTTCTCT